CTTTTGAGATTTGACGAACCGACGCACGGGAGCGCGTGTAGGTGTGCAGATGAAGCTGTGTTGACACGTGTCCTCGCGCGGCGTTCGTTGGGCCAGACAACTGATCATCTAATCACTCCGTGTGTTCGAGCATGCAACCAACGCAATCAGCCCAATCAAGAGACAAACAAAAACGAGAACAGGATTACCAATTGCGCAAAATTTCTATCCTACTCACGAGTACATCAATGCAATAAACAAGGCAGAGGCAAGGATCCGGTAGAAAGATAAGCAACCAAACATGGCATTCATACATTCATTCATATAACAACATACACACAGTGCATCAGAGATGGAAATCGCGAAGACAAGTATGAGCAAAACCCAAGTCCAGATTCTGAAAAACAGAAAACGGGCAGATCGCCCGAAGCCGAAATCAAAATTTATGTACACAAGACAAGAGGGAGAAAAGAAAAAGAAACAGCAACTCCGCGTCCATCAACCTCAACTCCCTCTTCCTTTCTCTTCTTCTCCGATGCGGACAGTCCGTCGTCGCGCACCAACCCACGACGCCGTAACCCCGCTTAGTCCTCCCGCACCCGTCATGTTCGCCCGCGCCCACGGTCCGTCGTGGCCCGCGTCAACCCCGCGCGTTTGGCACCAGCTCGTCGGGTCGCCCGACTCCTGCTCTACCCACCTCTTGCTTCGCTCGTATGCCGACCCTCTCTGATCGCGCAACCTCGAGCTTCCAACAGCTGGTTAAGAGAGATAACTAATCGCGCATCCTGAATTTATAGTGTGCATGCATGTGCAAAGAACACATAATTACAAGGATTTAGAAAGAAGATTAGAGAGGGAGTGCCTGCGCTTTGCATGACCGGGCCGAGGTGTGGGGAACGTAGCCACTCTCCATGCATCGATCCGAGCATGCAGACTGTGGTTACCAAAACGCGGCAAAGGAAAGGGAAGGAGGGCGGGAAAGAGGAAGCACAAGAAGAAAGATACAGTTACGATGGCGCCAACCCAAAATTACAGTTACACATCAGACTAAAGGCGCCGACTAATCATAATTCCGTTGCAGCCGCATCAAGAAGCGCGTAAGCAAAAAGCGCCGCGCGGCAAAAGAAAAGTCCTAATTACAAAATTCCGAAATTCCTAACTAATGCAGAAAAGCAAAAAGCACAAGTTTCGAAAGGAAAGTCCGAAATTCCGAGAGCCATCGGGGCTCGACAAAATTCGAAAAAGAATTCAAAAAGAAAATTCAAAACGAACGAAGCAAATTCCCGCGCGATGTTCGCCCCTAAATTCCCAAACCGAAGAAAATAAACGACGTCAACATTTATTATTCGCGCGCTCGGAGGCGCGCCCATCTACCCGACCAATCAATCACCCGTCTCGGAACACACCTTGCTCCGAACTCAGCCAACTGAAAAGAATCGACGCAAAAGACGAAGAAGCGAGGGTACTCATGCAATTTCCCATCCATCCCAATCTCTCGTAATTGGCCCAACCTTCCCAGCTTAGGACCCCTCATCGCTATCGCGCAGGAAATTGTGCAGTGCGGAAAATGGTTCGTCACATTTGGCCTATGAATTCGGAGACATGCGAAGGCATGGCGAATAGGTCAACCCCTCCAGCTCCAGAAGAAGACGAAGTAGACGACACAAGAGTACGAGAGCTTCTCCGCCTCTGCTACAAAGATGGCATTTTTCCCAGGGACATTCATCCTGGGGAAATGATGATACAAGGTCGTAATGTCAGGTTTAAAGTGAAAGAGACTTTATAGACAGACTCAAAGTACAGTGGTTGAAGGAGCGCACGATCACGGTGATTTTCAGGGACGCTGTACGCTTTCTCCCGAGGAACGTGAAGGAAGATCTCATTAGAGCTTACGAAGATGAAAGAGTCCAGATGAGCGACTTTGGTGAAGGATTTAGCAGAGGTAGAGTCAAGGTGGAAAGCCTTAATGTAGCTTCATACGTGGCAAAGTGTACATTGATTTTCGCTTGGCTGGTGGAGAAAAGAAGTGCAGAAATAGAGTTGGGAGGTGACATATATAGGTTGGAGTTTAAGCTATGGCTTATTAACGCGCAGCTGAAGGAACAGTAGACTCGATGAATTATTGATCTTCTGGATCATTGCTGTTCAAGTCCCCTTGGATGCCATGTTTTACCTGGAGGCGCACACTCGAAGAGACATCGGCCCCGTCACGATGACGCACCCGCCGAAGCAGGACCGTCTCAAACCAGCATTGGTCAATATGAAGTTTGACCTGGATCCAGAGGCTAGACCAAACATGAAGGATTCGATAACAGTCGATACTTTCGAAGGAGACGAACTGGTGGTCCAGTTAGCGTCATCGGATACACCACAGTGCACAAATGTCGAGCGTTCTTCCACTCTGCTGATGAATGTAAAAGGGGAGGTCGATCTCGTCAACAGCAGGGTAACCCAAGAGGACAAGGTGACAAAGATGAATCGGCCCAGGCGGGCTCATCTAGACAGATGTACCAGGGGCCACTCAGTAGGGGAGGTGTGAGCGGCCAACCAGCGGCCTCATCTGTGGGAGGAATAGGCAACCTTGCACCGAAAATGATTTTCCCAAGCATCTACTAGAATCCGGCCTTCATGGCGCCTCCACAGGTTATTCAACCCAACGGATTTTTGGCCCAACTACTCCAAGAAATGACACTTGTACAACAAAGCAACGTAGTGCCTGCAGGACAATCATCCGGGGTTTTCTCACAGATGGCTCACCCAAGTTACGCA